CTTTGCTGGATTCAGGTTATTCAGCTGCACTAACTGGGCAAGAGTTATCACTACGTGTCACCTGTTTTTTATAGGCTAGCACAGAGCCTTCAGTTATAATTCATAAATATTACTAGAAAAATACTCTGTTTGTAAACGTCAGTGTTAACTGCGCTGTTAAAAGAAGGGGCAAAAGCAGACTCTTGCGCTGGCAGTGTCCTTTACAAGCAGCACACAAAGGTGTGAGCTGTTGTGCTTGTGGTTGACCTTGGGTCTCTTTTGGTATTAATGGGATTGCAGGTTGCGTGTCTGAGGTAGTTTAATGTCCACTGATTAGGACCTGTGTGTGTGATGGGCAAGACCTGCCCAACACATTGCTCACCAAATGCTGGCTGGAATAGTTGACATAGTTCACAGTGAATCAGAGCAGAAAGCAGAGAATGGCTTTTTAAAGAGTGGTGCTGAGGGGAAGAGAGTCTCTAGTGGAGAGCTGGGAACAGATGGAGGCTCGGTGGGAAGACAGGAGACCAGATTGCCTGCCTCTAATTTGGCATCTCTGAAGTCAGTGCAGCAATGCTAGTTTAAACCAACTTGAAGCTGGACCACCAAAGTCTTTTGTAAGGCATGTAAATATAGAGGAGGAAGAGGAGGAATCTGTGCTCCTTGAGGCAAGCCTGTAGCACAGACCTGCCACGCATGTGTGTTAGGAGAGGAGGTAGGGACAAAGGGGAATAAAACCCATGCAGGGTGGTTGGACAGAGACTGGAGCCAGTGGGATCATCTGACAATGCATGGTACATGTTTGCACTTGGTTGAGTGTAAATGTTGATGGGGGTGGAGGAGGCCGTGAAGAGAAAATGTTAAAAACAGAAGGCAAGAGATGGTCAAAACAAAACTTAGGATGAAATAAGAGCTGAATGTAGCTAATAATGAGCTATTTATTGCAATTTAAGGGAAAGTTGAGAAGATAAATCTTTCCTGTATTCGGAGTGTAAATCCCACCCAAGCCAGAGGCACCAGGAGGGCAGTACACTTGTCAGAGCTGATCTATGAATACTATTCTTAGAGGCAGCAGGTTATTTATTATGAACGTTTTGAACCAATGTGTCATAATACATCATCTCACATGCTAAAGGATGAGTCTTATTCCTTTAGTCTTGCAAAAATGCCCTGCTTACTCTGCTATCAAGTATGAAGTTTCTGTCTAGAACAAAATTCAGCTGGGTTTTTAATTTCCTTTAAGCTTTAACTTGAGTTTAATTTTTCCTTGTGCCTGTATTACAGAATAATTGAGAAGCCAAAAGAGATTGGGAGAGTATAAAGTTATCCTTATTCTAAAGCAGGTGATGTATGTGCTGGCCCAAACCTCCCCATCTGTGGGACAAGGCTGCATTTTTGTTTTTCCGCTGTAGATCTGGTGCCCGCTTTCCCAGCATCTCCATTGCTGTGTTCTAGAAATAACTACAATCTTTTTTCTGTTTTTCATATGAAGCAGGATGGAGCAGGCAGCAACCTCACTTGCTACACAGCAGGATGACCAGAATGACATCTTTAACAAAAGCATGTTGAACCCAGATCTTTTTAAGAAGTAGCTTCTTTCTGAGAAGAGCTTTCACAGCTGCTTTTCACCAACCAGCTCTACTTAAAAGTTAAATGGGCAATAGCTAAGGATAGAAGACAAAGCTTGGGCCACATACACAAGGACTAAAGAGCTGCAGATGGTGTGTTGGCATCTCACAAGTGACTTGTGAGAAGATGGAAGATGATGTGGAGGCATTGCAATTGTCTGAAGTAGCTGTATAAGTCCCTGTGTGGTTCTTAGCCCAGGAGGAGCTGGAGTGAGGAGTGTCTGCTGACAATCTAGTTTCCTGAAAAAATCAGCTTGTGAGGGGGAAAGAAGCATAATGTTAAAAAGTATGTTTCAGGACGGGGAAGCTTAGGGTTTTAACTGTAAATTTCCACGTGTCCTTTGTGAGACTATATTCAGGGGGTTGTGTCCAAATATGGTGAGAGTGGGGATGCGGCTGCAGGACTCCAGCGGGAAGACCTTGAACATTAGACCTTGTACAACACTGACTGTCTGCAGTTCTGATAAAGAACTATAACAAATCTTAAGTCTTGATAAAAAGCCATAGAGCACTTGAAACATGCGGTTATGTTATGAAATCTCAGTGCTTGCCAAGGTGGCTGCAAGTGCTAGTATTACTGAGCCTCCATTTTTAAAAAACACGTTTCTGGCTCCTAAAGTCACAGGTTGGCTTAGAATAAGTGTTTGAGGAAACAAACATACGTACACCTTTGTTTTTCTGCTTGTTTCATTTGGGGTGGTATTTGCCAAGCTTTGCTTGATGAGCATACAGCTTAAAAACTTAAAAAAAAAAAAAAACCAAACCAAAAACGAAAAGCTGATGCCTGTCCGCAGTGGCAGCATGCAGGCAAAGGCAGGCTGTGGCTGCAGCGCAGGTGGTGTGTTCCCTGGAGTGCTGCCAGGGATGGGAACGCAGCCATGCTGGGGGAGGACCAGGAGGGGAAATAGCTCATCAGATGCGCTGGTGAGTCAGCTGGCTTGGGACCGCTTGCCACAGAGACCTGCAGCTAGGAACCCCTCAGCTCTGGCAGTTGTCTTCCCTGGAGAGGTGGCCTATGGCTATGAAACAAGCCTAGGAAAGGCTATAAAAATAATGTGCGTATAAAGCTATTTGTATTCTCAAAACAGAGGAATGTTACATGGAATATAACAGAAAGTGAGAAGGAGTATATGGTACCCACATAGCTGCCACTGCAATGCATTTTTTTAAGGATTGTGAATACAAAGCAAATTGCAAAGGAAATATAAATCCTCCAGAGGAGGAGAGGGGGAAGAAAGAGAAGAGGGGAGAACAAGAGAAAGAAGGGGATTTTTTTGTAGAATTCTGTCACCAGAAACATACTTACCCTTTCCTGACCTGCCCCGGTGGGATGGCAAGTGATTTTGCAGCACTGATGCGACAGGCTGGTGGTATATCAGCCCTTTTTACCTCATGCTGGCCATGTTTTTGTAGCACTCATTAAAAGAATCAAAAAAGCACTATAACAAATATGTGAAGATAATGAAGGATTTATTTATTTGACTGGGTCTTTTTCCCTCCCCTTGGGATACATTTACACCCAGTTCAGGGAGGCAGAGGTGAAAGGAGAGTGTATTGAACAATTCAGAGGTGATATCATTTTGGACTCTTGAAAAATCAGACTTTAAAGACCCCAAATAAATTGCAGCATGGCTCAGCTGTAACATGGCATTTAGTCTGTGCGATAAGTCTTGCTTCAAAATAGAGCCTGCCAGCTAGGACAGCACAGGGGGCTTGACAGAGATAATGGATGGAATGAGACTTCCAGCTGAAGGAAAGAAGTGAAGTCTGTAATCAAAACGTGAAGAGCATTTTAGGGATGATTGTAAAACAGCTGGCAGAAGGCAGGCAATGAGAGTTTGAAGGCTTGAGAAATGAGAAAGCCCAGGGTTGTACCTATACTGAAACAATGCAGAGAAAGGATGCAATCAAGCCTGTGCTTCTCTAGACCTGGAGAAAAATAGCGTTGTGCCTGGGAGAGAGCAGGGATCCTCACTAGAGAGTGTGCCATTGACATGGGGCAGAGATGGTCCATACCCTGGAGAGCTGACTATCAAACCCTGTGGGGACATAAAGTCAAAAGTTAAGGAACAGACTTCTTAATAAAGTACTACAATTTGGTTTTCTTATCCTTCCCTCCTACAAGCAACTTGCCCCAGATGGGGAAAAAAAAGAGGAGAGGAGGAATAAATCAGAGAAGAGCTAGGGGAGTTTCTTGGGAGAGCATTGGACTCATAAATACTGCTGTAGTGTTGGAGAAGGGCAGGTCAAAGATGCACCATGTGAGGGAACAGGGCCCATTCTTAGAGTAACCTGCTCTAGGCACCACATCTTTGCCTGTGCAGAAAGTGGTTAGTAGGTAGCTGCAGAGGACTTGTTGCCTTACCACAGATTTCTGCAGGAGGCAGGATAATCACCCCCCATGATGAGCTGAATTACCTAGCCAGCTGACCAGGCAGGGCAGGGAACCAGGGAACATCACTCACAGGCAGAGGAATGTGTGCTTAGCTGCACTGAGCAACCTAAGCGTACATCTGAGCTCTGGCTCCCCACAGCAGTGAATCAGGCTCCTTCTCATTTCAAAGATACTGTGGTTGTGGCTCCCTCAACTCACCCACCAGCATCACCTCTGTCTTGACTGGGTTTAGCCAGTTGGCTCCTTCTGATTGTATTTTCTCTTTGTCAATTAGCACCCAGTGGAGTGGAGGTGCTGTTGCTCTTGGTCCCCATAGGTGGAGATAAGCAAAGGATTTAATTTCAAAGGACTCGCTTGGGACATTTAGAACTCAAAGCATAAAATATCAAGTCACAGCTCTAGAGGTGACCACAACTCATTGTGAACCAACAGAAGAGACACTAATACACTGTCTGTAGGGGGCTGCTGTGGGACTACGGCAATGTGTGGTTTTTCTGAACATATGGTAAAAGTGCTTGTGTCTAACACCTTTTCATTTCCAACTACAAAATGATCCCTATTCTTCCCCTTCTACTCACTCAGTATACTACCAATGAAAAAAAAAAATCAAAGTATCATCTCTGTTACAGATAACTTCCCAGTTTTAGGGCAGAAACTGTCAATAAAGTTTATTTTATAACAAACCGTATATAGAAGCTGTATCTTTTAATTGCTAGACCTATCATGTGGATTAAAACTGTTATGTTTCTAATTGATGCAGGAGTTATAATTAAGAGAAAAAGTGGAGAAATTCCATGCCCCTTGGCAGTTGAAGCATTTGCTGCTCACCTTAGCTATATCTGCAAATATGATGACAAATACAGCAAGTAAGTAAGAATATGTGTGTGCGTACGTGTGTGTGTGTGAGTGTATTTCTTTCACTCCTCTGTTGCTGCAATGTTTGAGTTCTCCATGTTGAGCTGCAGCTGAGGGCCCAGTCCTGCTGTCATGGAATTAATCTCTGACAAAACTCCTTTTTCAGTCAAAGATCAGAAGCAAGAGCTGCTAGTGTTGTTTTGGCTCTATCTACCCATCCACCAGTCAAAAAAAATTTGAGACTTACATTCTTAGCATCTTGTAAATGACTTCTTAAGAAGTGTTGGGACGATGAGCCAGCAGGCTGATGTTCTTGGCCACATCAAATTGAAGGCTAAATACAGAATTCAACAAGGGCCCCACAAGTCTGTCAGGCTAGCTCAGCTCTCCACCCCTATCAGGGGATGGTGTTTAGGTGATTATCTGTCCCAGTGATATTTGTGTCACCTGGAACCAGAAGAAAAGGAAGTTCAGTTGTGGATGTTAAGCTGATCTAGATGATCTGGGAGAGCAGAATGTAGATCTTTTGGCTCCTGAATTCAGTTGGGGTTCTCAGCGTTAGCTCTTAATGTAGCAGGGAGAAACAGAAACAAGTAAGAATAGCAGTGGTGAAGCTTGGCTGTGGGAATAGCAATGAGGTGCAGAAGATTTCAAGAACTAAACATTGAGGAGAGAGAAAAAGCAGCAGGGATTTTCCAAGCCAGTTCTGGGCAAGGCAGCAAGAATTCAGTAGAAGAGATGAAAGAGGAGGAGGAGGTGGTTGCTGGAGACCAATACTGGGATCTGATCTGAGGAAACCAATATGAAAAAGAGGTGAGGTAGTAGATTTAAATGATTACTAAAAAAATGAAAGTAGGAAAGTGGGAAATCTTATAGAATCATAGAATGGTTTGGGTTGGAAGGGACCTTAAAGATCATCTAGTTCCAACCCCCCTGTCATGGGCAGGGACACCTTCCACTAGACCAGGTTGCTCAAAGCCCCATCCAACCTGGCCTTGAACACTTCCAGGGATGGGGCATCCACAGCTTCTCTGGGCAACCTGTTCCAGTGCCTCACCACCCTCAGAGTGAAGAATTTCTTCCTTATATCTCACCAAAATCTACCCTCTTTCAGTTTAAAGCCATTACCCCTTGTCCTATCACTACATGCCCTTGTAAAAAGTCCTCCAGCTTTCTTGTATGGCCCCTTCAGGTACTGGGAGGCTGCTATAAGGTCTTCCCGGAGCCTTTTCTTCTCCAGGCTGAACAACCCCAACTCTATCAGCCTTTTCCCTCATAGGAGAGGTGCTCCAGCCCCCTGATCATTTTTGTGGCCCTCCTCTGGACTTGCTCCAACAGGTCCATGTCCTTGTTATGTTGGGGGCCCCAGAACTGAATGCAGTACTCCAGGTGGGGTCTCACCAGAGCAGATTAGAGGGGGAGAATCACCTCCCTCGACCTTCTGGTCCTGCTTCTTTCAATGCAGCCCAAGATACGGTTGGCTTTCTGGGCTGCAAGCACACATTGCCAGGTCATGTTGAGCTTCTCATCAATCAATACCCCCAAGTCCTTCTCCTGAGGGCTGCTCTCAATCCATTCTCCATCCAGCCTGTATTTGTGCCTGGGATTGCCCCGACCCATGTACAGGACCTCGCACTGGGCCTTGTTGAACTTCATGAACTTCGCACAGGCCCACCTCTCAAGCCTGTCAAGGTCCCTCTGGATGACATCCCTTCCACAGCTTGGTGTTGTCGGCAAGCTTGCTGAGGGTGCACTCAGTCCCACTGTCCATGTTGCCAACAAAGATGTTAAACAGTGCCAGAGACCTAAGAGTGAATATTCTGGCAGTCCTAGGATTAGTCAGAACCTAAATATAAGGATGTCAGTCCTTTCTAGTTCTGCCGTATGGAGAGGTGCTCCACATGACAGCACTGCACGCTCTGGCTCTACACCCACATCCTCCCATCTACTGTTGACAGCAGCAGATATCATTCGTTACTTGCAATAGAGATAAACAAGAGGAGAAGCATCAGCAATCTTCCCTAAACTGTAACATAATGTGCCTGAGGCTTTTTTTTAGTTACAAATTGAAGGCATTCAGACCCACAGCTCATATCACGTGGATGTTTGTCACAGGTAAGCTCAAGGAGTCTCTATCAGTACTCTTACTCATGTGGAGTGGTACAGAGGTGAGAGTGTTGCTGAGGTTTTGCTTCTGAGAGCAAGGAATTCTGTTCTTTTAGACACTACTCGAAATTTCCAAAACTGTGCAACTGAACTGTAAATGGCTGTCAAATACATTGTAGAAAATTTCTTAAGATGATATTTGCACTAGGTATTAAGTCCTGGGCCTGCTTCCCCTTTGGGACTGCAGAATCTTTGTCTGGGGTTATTTCTTGCATCCCAGCTGCATGTTTTTGACTGAACAGTGCTTTTCCCCTCCCCTTCTCTCTTGGCTTTTTAGGTATTTCATTTCTCACAAACCAAACAAGACCTGGCAACAAGTATTCTGGTTTGCCATCAGCATCGCTATAAACAATGCCTACATCCTCTACAAAATGTCAGAGGCCTACCATGTGACAAGGTATAGCCGTGCACAGTTTGGTGAAAGACTTGTAAAGGAGCTTCTGGGCTTGGAAGACACCTCACCCTCCCATTGATGCATTGTTCTTGGTGGCATAGGCAGGGGGTGGAGGGTAAGCAGAAGATACCACACCTGGAACGACAAAGCAAGGAACTTGTGACACCACCAGTGCTGTCCTTATCCAAAAATGCCAAGTGATGCCACTAGAGACGTGGAAACTTTGTTCCTTGTAGCAGCTGGATGTAAACGTGTCCTGCAGAGAGTGCCACTGGAAAAGCTGGCACAAAATTGCATATGTGAATGCCCTGTGGGAATCTGTACACCAGAAACAGACTATTAGTTGTCATCTCAATACTATTTGTTGAACAGGGTCATCTTGTAAAGTTCCTCTTGGGCTAAGAGCTTGTCATGAGCTGACATAGCTCAGCAGTCAGTTACAGAAAACTCTATACCTTACTTGGAGTTACTCAGTTCTGGGACAAGCAACGTAAGTCTGTACCACGGGCTGTGCTTGAGAGTGCCTGCCAACCTGTAAGGCATCGCTGCTGTCCTCCCAGTGTGCTAAACAAAGCAGTTCAGATACACAAACACTGAAGCAAGCATATTGCAAACAAAACCTTCACAAGCAGGCAGCCAGGAACTGAGGACCAGTTAAGACTTTTTCTTTCTGTCTTTTTTTTTTTCCCCTTTGTGTTTATTAATATAATGTAAGGCAATTTGATCCCAGTTAGAACACAGCAAAATTAGAAGAAACCAAATAAATTAGTGAATTTAAAATAGAAATACTTTACATTGATTTTCTTTTTTAACCAGGATGAAACATTTTATACACAAACAAACAGTGAGTAATACTGTAAGCATTAACAGTGAGTAAACCAGTAATAATACTGCCTCGCATCTTAACTGCCACGGTCAGTGTACAGGTGAGAAATCAGAGTATAACAATTATTTTTTTTTCTTGATTTCAACTGTATCTTAAACGTTGCTTAAAAATCTAATGTAATGGACTGTTAAGTTTTTAGGAATAACAGTTTCTTTCTTTTCCTTCTGTAACTGTCAAGACTTTTTTGGTCCATTTTAGAACTTCATCTGTCACACAGTTGGCAGGAAAAAAAAAAAGTCACTAATAGCAGTATGTTTCCCATTATCACTGCAGGGTGTTCTGTAGGAATTCTTGTTAGAATTCAGGGCTTGTCACAGTAGTTGTAATTAAGCAGATTACATGTTTAGCAAAGTAACATAGCATTGTGTTTTACAAAAAGAAAGAAGTCCAGTTGCAACCAGACCTTAAACCTCACTAACACAGAGCAAGCCCAAAGAGTTCTCCTGTTCTGAGTGACGCTGTGGAGGACAAGCATCATCACGAGCTGGTGCCCATGGCTGAAATGCCATATTTTGGTGCTGGTGCAATCTGAAGGCCACTGAAGCTTTGGAAAACAATGCTGAGAGAGAGGGGTATGGTTGAAACAGGGGAGAATTGATACTGTGGTGAAATACTACCCTGCCGTCTACACATTACTGATTTCAATCCACAACTCAATCAGCAAAAAACTCTGTATTTTAGAACATAGATAAAATTGCATTAACTTACAGGGCAGAAACCATGTTGCTTGGAGGACCAGCAGATTTTAGGTCCCCAAGCCTGGAAAGTTTTAGTGAAGAATGACTTAGATTGATTCAAGAAGAATGGAGGGATTGATTGATTATGTATCAATGTAAACCTCACCAGGTTATATGTATCTATCTGGCAAGAGACAATAGAGGGTAACCAACATGAATTTGAGAACTCCCCGGATTTCATCATTATGTGATGTGCAAATGCATAGCATGTAAATCATAACAGAGGAAGAATCCAGCAGGGGTTAGTAAATTACTAACTAGCCCAAAGAGCATCCTTGCACTGACATCTTTCTATTTCCACCAAAGTCTTTTTTTTTTTTTTTTTGAGTAGACTTAGAGGCAGATCTCACCTGGTTGCAGGGAGAGTAAGGGGATGGCCAACTCAGTGGTGGTTCTGCTTGCAATATAGCCTGGAGACTGTTCCACACATCCTGCCAGCTGCACAATTGTACAGCAGTGGGTTTCTTAAGCATCCCTTTTCACTTCTCAATCCACAAGGTCTCCACCCAGGAAACGTGAGAAAGGACAAAACCTTGTGCATTGAGGCCTCCTAGTCTGAAAAGGAAGGGGAGAGGGTTTGTACCACTCTAGTCCTTGGCAATGCCAAGCTGCGTAAGTCCAAGGATGAGTTCAAAATTTCTTGTCCCTGCAGAGAGCTGAGGCCGCCCATCTTCAGACTGAGTGTGTGCAGGAGCTGGTTCTTGTCAGTCTTCTAAGTATTCAGAGGGGGAGAGGAGCTAGCATGAAAAGCAAATGTTCAGCAATATAAGCCCACAGTTTCTGGTTTTCTTAGGAAACTCCACAGAGGTACCTGAAGGCAAATGGTGTTCTCACTGTTGAGCACCCTGCTTCAGACAATGCCTGTCCTGTAAATTTATGTGGTAGTCAAAATTGGGGAAGTAAGGAAAGGTCTGGCTGGAACTTTGCTGATGGGGCAGCTTGAATGAACAATAGCTGCTGGGAGTCCAGCTTCCTTGCATTCCCCTGCAATGCTGGAGCATTTGAAAGCTGCACATGCCCCCAGCAGCAGTGGAAGGGTTTGCAGGACCTCCTATGAGCCACTTGGCGCTTCTGAGGAGTAAGCACAGCACTCTCCAGCTATGTCAGTAGCCCCCTGAGATCTGGAGCCCTTGGCCAATTGTTACATTATTCGGTATGCTTAAAGGCTTGGATCTAGGCCATCTTGTACAGAAAAATTCCTTTTCTTTTTCAGGTGACAGTAGGTCCAAGGCCTTGGATTGTTTAATTTTCCACTAACGTGTGCTGTTAATTATGTGGATTACTTGAGTTAAAATCATGAGGTCCTAGCTTTTTGCCTCAGGGACTGGGTCCTGAGTAGTTTTCCCTAGAATTGGTGTTGACGGGGGATTACACAGTGGCTGACTATTACAGGGAAGATGCTTTAGTCTCCTTTGTAAAGGAGAAAAATGAAGACAAAATTATAGCTTTGCAATGAATTTCATTTTCTTAGCCTTAACCATCTCTCATCATTTTGAACTGGTGCCCTAAACATGCACAAACATTCCATAAATAAGCAAAAATGTTTATATATATTTGTATGTACAGAATGCCTGAATTTTGGCTCTCAAAGCCAACAAGCAAAAGCCACCAAAGCATAGCCTATATCCACAGATGACTATTCCATCTCATCTCCATTTATTGACTGGGAGTGGATAGGGTTGGGGAAAGTTAAGATTTCTCCTTGTTGAAAAAGCATCTTGCACTTTCTCTATGTTACTACAAACGAGGCAAAGTAATTAAGGAAGAAACTGAATAATTTTTAAAAAGCAAAAGTTTGCTAACTGCAGTTCAGCTTCTGTAGCATTTCCTTTACTGCAAACTGGCTTACTCAGATTTGGTTCCCCACCTGCTTGTAACATTAAAGCTTCTCCCTAGTTAAAGGAACAAAAAGGGGTTAGTCTCGAAGTAGTGTAAGGATGCTAGTTATAGTGTGTGTGTGTGTGCGTGTTAATTGTGCAATGGCTTGTGAAATGATAACAAGTTTGGGTTGTTCTGAAGTCTTTTTTGTAGCCTTGAGACAATCTGGGTAAGAGATCTTAAAGCTCAGCAGTAGTTAAAACGCAGTGGAAATGGCGACCAGGTCTCTCAGTTTTTTCCAGAAAAAAAAGTTTGAAGCTAAAGTAGGCAAGGGAGCAGGAAGGCTCATTTCTCTCCTGCTGACACACATACTTCTGAAACCAACTTATTTATGGTATGCAAACTTTCATTTCAGAGAACTGAGACCATCAGCAAGACATACTGACCACCTTCTATGCACAGTATTTCTTTCAAGAAATGTCTATCCTGCCCCAATCCATTCTTGGAAAACATTTCTTTTCCCAGTGTGTAATATAACACTCACTAGAGCTTAGAAGCCACTGTGAAATGGTTTCCACTGCTGTTGCCTCAGCTGAAAAAATGTTTCAAGGGCTTGCAGAAACTGTCCCATTTTACTTCAGCCCATTTGTGCACTTGACACTGGAGCACAATTTAAAGAAATCTCATCACTGTTTTCCATTCCTATTCTCAAGCCCCAACCCTCCTACGTTTACAAGGTAGTCCAAGAATCCCAATTTATAGATGTTTCAGTGTCCCTGATGGGAACAACTTAGTTTTCTTCAGACACTTCCTAGAGAAAAATGAATTTAGCTGTTTCCAGACTGACATTAAGGACAGCAACTCAAAACACGATTCCCATTCTTTACCTGCAGCTACACTTATGTGGCTTTTTTGGTGGTTTTTTGTTTTTTTTTTTCCGAAGAGTATTTTTACTTCTAACATTCATTTAGTAGTCTGTCTTGAGCTGGTGAGTAGTGAAAGAAGCCTCCAGTATCTCAGTCTTACATGCCTTAGTCCGCTAGTCCTGGAGCTGGTCTAGTGATGAATGGGGGATTATGCTGCACTGATAGTTCTGTGCATCTGTGCTACTTTCCATGCAAGGATTGCAAAGTGCTTTAACAGCCTCAGCGCTCATGAGACATCATTAGCTCCTCAAATAGGAGCTTCCCCTTCCCTAATCAGACACCAAGGCACAGCACAGGTAAGGGGGCGATGAAACTGTAAAGTGGAGTTTGCAATCCTGCTGATTAAGTCCATGTTCTGCATTTCCAGTGACTTTGTTCTTGTTCAAATGCACTTTTCCAAACTAGAAATGAAAGCACGCTGAACATCTTCCCACCCTGAAGTAAGGGCTGTGGGACTTTGTCAGCACAGGTTCCTTACTCCAGATAGGCCTGTATGAGTCAAAACCAAGTTGCACTGGAGGTAAGAGAAAATTGGATAAAACATAGCAGCCCAACCTGCCTAGAGGAACTTAGAGGAGATAAATGGAGAATCTGAAGCTCTGCTATAGTCCAGTAATCAATGTGCAATTCAGACAAATAATTACTAAGACTGACTTGAGAAAAGTCACTGAGGCTTAGATGGAATATGAAGTCTTCCATCCATCTCTGTTGTGGAATTTGCCATGGCACCCACTTGTTGCTAGGACTGATGCAAGATAAGTTGTTTGTAAAACAAGAGCTCATCTCGGTCTGGTTGAGAAAAACATTCGTGTGTCAAAGGACCATTAGCAATGTTTGACGAAGGCAAGGAACTGTAAGCTCAAAACACAAAACATATTTGGCCTGTTGTTAACTAGGATATTTTTGCACAGACAGATCATGTCATCATCTGCTCAAATGCAAGCCTATCACCAGTGCTACTAGATATATATTTTTTCTTCTTGTAACAGTTCGTCCCAAACCTACGTTTGTTTCCA